CATAAATTCTAAAAAAATTGAGGTATAAAAAGAATATAAAAAAAATTAGTGGGGGCATCCGCCCCCACTGGTCCTATGTTGGGTCCGTGCCTAATTGGAGTGGTAATTTTGGAATCAAGACACCTTTTTCAAAAAATTCCATCATTTTGGAAAAGTTATCTTTGGCTCCATCATTTTGACAGTAAACCTCCAAAAATTCATTTTTTTAGAAATTATCCCTAATTTTAACACATACCAATAAATGTGTTAATTTTATTCAAATTTTTACTTACTTGTCAAATTATGTTTGGTAACTATGTAATAATTTCTTTCTCGCTTTGTAGAATGAGAAATTGTTACTTGGTATAGAGGACCATTCACTGATTGGTCGGGACCTTTCTAAAAAAGGGAAGACTTAAAACCTTATAAATAAATGAAAAATAATAATAAATATGTTTGGCTCACAAATAGAAAGGCTTGCGGGCATGCCAAGAACCGTTGTCGTTCCAAAGAGGAACTCCAAACAATATTCTAGTTGAAAATTTAGGGATCAGATGATTGTATGAAGGACTGAAATGACCGCCTTCAATTGTTCTTTTTGTCTTGAAAAGGGATTTCGGGATTGTTCTAGTGCTAGTGGAAAGAAGAACGAAATGGAAAGTGCGGGACTTTGAAATAAAACAACTAAGATGTAATGGCTGGAATGTAAAAAAGGAAGTGTTGAACTTGTAATTGAAAGAATTAAAAACTACTTCTTGGAAAGTAATTACTGAAAGTAATGAACTAAAAGTAGACATAATGTAAATTCATTGCTGGAATGAAAGATACGTGAATTGAAATTGATAAGCAAGGTGATGTATTGATGTGTTGTGTGCATTGAGCAGGGTTTGCATGCTAGGCCTAAGTGCTCTATTTATAGAGTCCTTCTTGCATCAATTGGAAATGATGGTTCCAGCAACAGTTAAAGCTGCTTCGAAGTGGAACGTCCGGATTATGCTACGTATCCCATGTCTTTCCCAGATTTCTCATAGTGTTGACATGTGTAAAATCATGTGTTCCCATAATCTACAACTTCTGAGGAATGATTTTGCTGGTTGAATGCTTGTTACAAGCATTTACCCACGTTCTGGAACTGCCGCAGCAGTTCCAGTAGCAATTTCACCTTCCACTTAGCTTGTCTCTGAATTGCTAAGTGTCCCATAACTTGGTAGTTTTTCTTCATATTCGGGATTCCTTCTTAGAATTCCTCTAGTGCACGTTGTCCATAATCCCAAACAATTCCCAGTTCATGGCCATAACAGTTGAAAGAATAAACTAAAAACTTACTCCTAGCTTGCTCACATGTTGCCAAGTGTCCCATGTCTTTATGGTTTCCTTTTTGTGTGCAAGATCCCTCCTCCCTTAGAATTTTGAACTTACATATTGTGGAGTAAAAAATCCCCCTCCAATACGAGTCGTCCACGTCATCACAATACAAATTTATACTTTCAATCCTTTAATATAGAAGCCCAGCCCGGGTCGAGCCCAAATTAAGTCTCCATCTAGCCCAAGATCACTGGTACTAAACTTCCAACCCATCAGTCTGGCTTAGCTAGCCCAAGATGAATGAGTCCTACTCAGCAAAGGATCCTGCATGAAAGGAAAGTTCTACAAAAGAAAGAATCTGATATGGAGATAACTGTAAAAGGCAGTAACTTAATTAGTAAAGAATTGTATATGGAATTAATTGGAGGACAAGTAAGGCGAGTCCTACCATAATTCCACCATATTTTTGTCAATAAATAGAGGCCTAGCCCTCCAATAAAGATCATCGAGCAATATACGCTTTTCTCTGAATAATTCTTGTTACTTATTATTTTATTTTGATTGAGTTGTATTATTTCTTTTAATTTCTTTTAATTTCTTTTATAGAGAGAAATTTTGCACCTACACATATATATATATTACTCATATATATATATATATATACATCATCATATATATGCATGTCTCCTTTAATTTGGTAACCTCTTTTGCAGATGAAGTTTCTACTTGGCGCATCTTCATGGCACCAAGTATCCCATGATATTATAATTTTTTCTTGCATACATGACATAAATAATTTCCATGAATATATATATATATACACCCCGTTATAAACACACACATTCTCCACCAATTTGACTAACCAACCAAGCTTCAACTTAGGTAATTCATTATAGTTTAGCAAATTCCTAAATTTGTTCAATGAACCTAGACATTAATCTATCGTGTAATTGCAGTTGCATGATTTCTGAAGTAACTCCTATAATATAGGAGACTTTTTAGGAATAGACTTTTACTTTTTTCAATTACTAAGTCTATTTTTGGCATTCCATATATGATGTATATGCTGCATGTCTTCTTGGAATGACTCCTACAAACTAGGAAATACTGTAGAAGTGGGGAGTTGCCATTCTAGGTGACCAAGTCAAAGGTACAAATGGTTGTTTTGGTATTTGCTATGCAACAATAATAGACCAAAGATGCTCTTATGATGAACTTTTGTCTCACTGGATCCCATCCACCTTTGATTCATTCTTTAGTGCCATGTGTCAGCATCTGGACGGTTCTATAGTTAAAACTTGGGTGGCTAGATGGAACTGCCTACATGGTAGCATTCCTTTTCCAGCTGCTAGAACTAATCTGGTGTGGCAACTTTTTATTTATCCAGATTTGTGATATTAACAAAATAATAATGTGTGTGTGTGTGTGTGACGCGGGCGCGTATGTTTTTATATTAGTGCTGGAACTAATCTGGTGTGACAACTTTTTATTTATCCAGATTTGTGATATTAACAAAATTATAATGCGTGTGTGTGTGACGCGTGCGCGTATGTTTTTATACTAGTGGTGGGACTGGAATGGAATGGTGCTTTGTAGAATTGTTGCCAAACAATTTCTCCTTTTGTTCTGCTTTTGTAATGGTTTATGGATGTAATGGGACATACACATTAACAAATGCATGCATGTGAATGTGATGAGAGAAATTGATGTGAATAGCATTTCTTTAATCCAAAATGCAACATTCAACCGGTTGACTTTTTCACATTTACAATATTGAATTGAAATTCGGGAACTGATGTAATCTAGCTGCCCAACACAATAGGGTATATCCATCCATCCACCGTGAGTTGTACTATGCACGTAACTTGTTTATAAATTAATTAAAGAGGGGCAAAACTTTTATTTTTTAATATAAAACTGAAGATTTAAAAAATAAATAAATAAAAATCTTGAGTGCCTTTAATTAAGTTTTATCATATATATGACCAGGGGAGGGGCTGTGGTTGAAGATAGAATGGGACTTGCATGAAAAATATCTTCAATATTTGACCATGGTTGCACATTTCTCAATTTATTGCTTATCCTCTTAATTCTATATATATATATATTCTTATATTGCTTATAATTTTAAGCAGGGTGGAGCTAGGATTGTAAAGGGAGGGGCTAAAGATATAAAAATTTATAGATAAACACAATAATTTTTATGACAAAGATATGTTATATATATTCAAAAATATCAAAAATAAAAAAATCATAAAAATAATAATAAAAAAAGTAATAGACTTGTAGCTTTGGTTGCACTAAAAGAGCTATATGAATGGAATTAATATTCTCTTATAAGATAAGTGAGATTTCGTCACCTGTTGCTTTTTTCTTTTATTCAGAGAGTTGCTTATTGTTGGGCTGAGCCATTTGTTATTTTTACTTTATTCGTGATTGGGCATGGGCTGGGCTATGATTGATTGGGTTGGGTTATGGCGGAAAGAAAGTAGTAGTACTAAATTTTTTATTTTTTTTAGACCTGTGCTAGAGCCCAAGTCAGCCCTCAGTAAGTTTCGCCACTGATTTTAAGGATGATTCTTCTAGTCTTCTTCATAGTTTATTTGGTTGTTTTGGCTTTCTTTCCTAATTCCTAATGTACATGGTCTTTTGATTTGAATGGAACATTACCTTAAAATGCAAGTAACACACAGTGGAAAACATATTATTACACATAGTACTAAAAGATCTCAATTGACATCAAGTCTTTATCTAAACAAGTAATGAATTTTTAAATGCTTTGCAGTCAAGGATGGACTATGGAGCCACCAGCATGGGCCCGGGGCGAGACTTGGCCCCAAGCCCGTGCTACCCCCAATTAACTTTTTTATACTAACCATATAATTTTTTTAAATTTGTAGAATGCCCCTCGTAAAATTATTTTTCTCTAAAAAATGTTTCTAATTTTATCTTTCTTTTCATTCTTATTCTTCAACTTCAAATTTTTTATTTTTAGAACCTCTGTTCAATTAAACTCTTAATTTTTTCCCTTCAGAGTTCTGTCTTTTTGTTTTTTCCTTCTGATTATTTTTTTTTATTATTTTTTTTTCTTTCACTTGTTTTTATTATTGTAGTTGAACAACTATAATAAGAAATTTTTTTCTTCACTTGTTTTTGTTACTGTAGTTGAACAACTATAATGAGAAATATATATTTTTAAATCAATATAATATAAATACCATTTTTTAAAATAATTCAAACATTTTATTTATAAAACATTGTGCAACAAATTAGTTACTAACAAAATAAAAATAAAATTGCTCACTATTTTTTTTATGACTTTTTTTTTTTTTTTTTTTTTTGGTACTTTTTAATTCATAGCAATACCCATTTTTTGTTACTAATGTGCAAAGAAAGTTCTCCAAGTGAACCACACAAGTCATTCATAGGAGCTTGTACACCATTCTCATTTCTAACTTCAAGAACAAGTTTTGTTGACTTGTATATATATATTGAATTTAAGGAGAGGTGGGAAAGAACTTCTTAATTTGTTAGAAATGAAAGTTATACAAATTATAGAAGTTCTTTCCCACCTCTCTCCTTAAATTCAAAGGAAGATTGTAAATCTAAAAATGCACTATGCTAATTATAATCCATAATTTCATTCACCAATCAATAAAGTAAAGCAATTCCTTTTTTCTTGAAGCAACAACCATCATAACAAATTGGAGATAATGTTACAGCTGAATATTGAAAGCTTGCATTGATGTCACATTTTGGAGTCCTCAAATGGCTTATGCCTAAAAAAAAAAAAATGATACATTATTAAATTAGCAGCAACTTTGAAAAGAAAAAAGGGTATACATATTACAGTATCCGGAAACAAATTCCTGCTAAATGATGGTTTCCAAATGTTATAAATAACAACTTTTTTGCCTGTGGACCTACAATGCTAGGGATACATTAATCTGTACAAAGACTACACTACCTACAGTACAGTTAGGTGTGCACCGAAGGGACGATACAACAATTACTCTCAAAGTTGTAACGCCAGATCAGGCTGCACTGGATCAACCCTGCTAGAACTAGGAGACCCTGGTGACTGGAATCTGACGTTTAGGTCAGGTGGAACCGAATCTGATTTCCGCTGCAGGGGCACTTCTCGCCAAGATCCTTGCGGATGGTGCCCTGAATTTGGCAAGGAGGTGCCGGTGTTTATTGAATTTGTATTTTCCAAGAACTTGGAGTCTTCTGAATTTAAGCTATTTGTGGTCACTGGATGGGCGAAGTTGGCGTCCATTGTTGATTCGACATAGGGGGACTGATGGTTGATGGCAGTTGGTTTAACAGATCCCATCATTCTTCCCATGTGTGCTGGAAGGTGAAACGGATAAGCCCCCTTAAATCCATTCATACCAGATTGAAATACTGGTTTCGGATGTATCTGAGAGGGCCCCGGCCTGCTCACACCAAGATTGCTGCTCTGTCTATCAAAACCGGAGTGGGAGTTGAATCCTCTAACAGGTTCTGCACTTCCTGCAATGGGTTCAGGAGATCCATTTGCAACAATGGGGCTTGAGGTGGCGGCTGGAGATGGAAGGAGAGACTGGCTTGGAATGGTGTTTACGGCTGAAACAGTTGAAGAAGGCACATGCTTCTCTAATAAAGAGTCTCTTTCAGGATCATTTGATGACTTCTCAGCCTTCATTTCCACCGTGCTGGGAGTAACAGTCTCAGATGAATTTCCAGGCGGGGAAAAGGAGTTAGATGGTGACAGGTGAACTGGAGGGGAAGAAAGAAGCGGAGACTTCTGTAACACTGCTTCATTTTCTCCAACCCATCCGGGACCAAAATTAACTCCAGGAGGCAAAGACTTCTCAATCCTCTTCGAGGCAACCTTCCAGGTGACAGGCCCCAGATTTGCAGCAAAACGAGCTAGACTCCTTGCATAACCATACTTCTGAATGCCAACCTGATTCATATAACATTCCCTAGTCAACAAACCAAAAATAACAGATGAATACGATCATTCAATAATCATAGGTAGGTCATATAGATGGTCCGACCAAAACACTTATTGCAGCAGATGAAAGGGCCTGGGGACCTTTAAACCAATATGTACTGAAGGGGAGTTCCAGACCAGACATGCAATATAAAAGAAAGGTTCCAACCATACATTCTGAAGACTCCTTTCCTTGAACCATTCATCAGTATATGTTTGATGAAGTAACAGGACAACGGAGGTCATTACCAATAAGTTAAATGGCCAAGGGGAAGAAAAAAAATTCTAAGACTAGCTATTAGTGGCCCAGTAGACCCCAACATGAGCTGTTGGCTCCAGGCATGCAGTAGCTTGTTCTTCCCTCAATGAATAGTTAAATAACTTATAAAGATCTACGTGAACATACAGGCATTAGCTGCTTTCTCTCTCCATCAAACGTAGACAAAACAGATGGTTCTTGCCCACCAGTGAGTAAATGGGATTGCTTGTATGTATTGCGCCTGTTTTCGTTTAATACTAGTTTCTTCCCCTGCTTCCAACTCCCCTTTGACATTGAACCTGTACCAGTAAAATGCATTAGGGCTCCTCTAGGTACCAAATGTAAGGAAAGGCTAGATAGTTAAAGGAGATTGAGGTGAAGTAACAAGTTAATTCTCAATTTCCTAACCTGGTAATTCATCGTTCCTCTCCAATTTGTGCTCGGGCAACAAACCAGAATAAGTTTCACCATAGCGAGAACCAAGTAAAGATCGTCCTGAAAATTCAGCAAGGCCAGACTTCTCTAGAACGGGTCCTCTCCGCAGATAATTGGACCAAGTGGTGTTTTCAGCCGCAGTAGCAAGGGTTGCATCTGAGGAGAATTCTAAACCAGAACGATCCAAAGAAGGCCTGACCATCTGTTTGTTAAGATTCTTGGTTGGCGGTCTGCCTCTTTTTACTATTTTGCGTTCTGGTTCATTCTCATCACTATCATGCCTCAAATCTTCAAAGTTCTTTTTTGCCAGCTCTTGTATTGACCGTGCCTGCTTGGACGACCAAAATTTCATTAATGAACAGATAAACCTGAAAAAAGCAACAAAGGAGTTGGAACTTGACATTACCTGTCGAAAATAAATAGTATCCGGAGCATTGTACTGCATTGCGTTCGAACAGATCAAGAAAACATCTTTCTGCATAAGAATACAACTACAACATCAACTTCCATGAACCAAATTTTAGCGTTTTGGCAAACTCAAACCAAAGCATCAAGAATGTCTTCCAGAGCATCACTAGATTAGAGTATCCACTAAATAGAATTCTAAAAAAAAAAACTTTGAACTTCTTGCCAATTTTTTTAAGTGAGAACACCGGCACTATATAAGAGGCCGTGTAACATATAGTATTATATTGAGAAAATCACAAATTGGAAAGAAAAGAAAAAACACTAAAATAAGGTATAAGATATTGATGAACAGATGTAATGGAGATTTCAAATTGTGTATGTTTAATATATATATATATATATATATATTGGAATTTTTAACATACAACAATAACATTTTACTTCATAAAATAACAGAGGAATACTTGTAGCAAGTATACAAGTATTCCGGAGAAAAAAAAAAAAAAAGGCCAGAAAATATTAGCAACCAACTCCAATCATTTAAATGAAGACAGATTATACAAAATGTTGTGAACTGTATTCACCTACAAACAATATAGACCTATACCCGCCAACAGATGTAACTACAAGTATTGTATGGATTAGGTGGATGCCCCAATACTCCAACCCGTGATCTCACATTTTAGAGCTCAAACTTTTAATATGGTTGCATGAAGCAATAGCCCCTAAAGTAGTATAATGTCTTTCATAATTGATAACCTTCCAAGGTGGTGAATGGGCAAGTAATTCATAAAAATTAGTGTTAACCAAGAGTTTCTTAGTGGTAGCAATTCTTCCATGATTCATACCCTCCAAGGTGGTCATGAAACAAAAGCTTCTTATAATTGGGTATTCGACAAGAGTTTATTACTAGCAGTAATTTAGAGCAATCAGCCTAACCATATTTATATCCCATTTACTTCTACGCTATAGATTATGCTAAAAAAACGATAGTATAAAAACGCCAGTACGGTATAGCATGGTGTCCTAAGCAATCTAACTCAACAAGCCACAATCCTAACTACTTGGTATTCATTACACGGCTCCATATTCTCCAATGGTAAAGCCATTCTTTTTCATAAATCCATGGAACCTGGAACCCTCAGCAATAAGATGAATTCTGAAAGCAAAATGGGAATCTAGATTTCCTAGCACTATCAGTGTGATATGACACTATTTCCAGCTAGATCGTCAACCTAGGCAGATGACCGGATTTAATCCTATCATGACCACTGAACCCATGGAATGCTGAATCAGATTTGACACTTTACTTGCAAATCCAAGGACAACATACTCTAAAATACTCCATCTCAACTACCAGCCATGAACAAATTATCAAGCACAAAGACTAATAAAAAATAAATAAAATTAACAAGCACAAAGGAGTCGAGGAGAAGTGACATTTTAAGCAGGTATCAGAGTTTAAATAAAGAACTGGTCTATCATTTCTAATCCCCTTTTTGGCCAAATATCATTTTTAGATCAAAGGTGTTAGTAGGTGAAGACTATGTCAAGTTCCTAAGATGACTCAAACAAGGCTACCAGCATAACATCCATGCGAAATGACAGGGTTGTAATCCATCACTTGTCTCAATGTTCCGTGCCAAATTCCAAAGTTGAGAAATTATCAACACGTACTTTGAAGATGAACTTCTATAAAAAATAACTCCTGAATTTCTTATTCATCAGCCTTTACCTAACACAATAGGCTAGTTAGGCTCATACATTTGGGTGAAAGAGCAGGAACCAGCTCAAGATTGGTTGAGATTGAGTGGGTGTTTTTGTGCGTGTGTGCACCACAACAATTTCTGATATTTCTTTTTTTTTTTTTTGATAAGTAAAAAATACCCACCATAATCAAGTTTAAAATTTGCCCAACTTCACTTCTGTAACCCTATCATTTTTTGCAGCCAATTTCTGATATTTCTAAACCACTCATTTAGAGGAAGAGATAAGTATGAGATGTATTAAGTCATATGTGGCAAGCAGAAAAGCTCTATTAGGGAGTACACACATCATCTAGCACTTCTTTTAGTAGTCAAGTGGAGTTGTATGCACTTTAAATCATCTATGGACACGCCTATAGGAGTCAAGACCTTAATAGACATTCAAGTGTTGTTGATGAATGCACTTAAAAATAATCACCAAAAAATACTATTAAAAGGAGAGAGAAGAAATATTATAGCAGGCTATTGAGCAATACCCCCATCAATAGAGAGCAACTTCAAACACTTGAAAAAAACAGACGGGGAGAGAGGGGGGAACCGCAACCTGAGATCTTCCATCCCCCAAAAGAACCTCAAGGGATAGATGATTAATCAATTCTTCATTCCTGTTGGAAAGCACAGCCTACTAATAGACACCAAGCTTGCCCCAAATGAAGTCCATAAAATCATCAGTAGATATATTAATTTTTTAACAACATTCATTTCCATAATAGTATGATTTCACAAACAGTATGTAGTAGTTATTATTATATCTTATTTCCTTTGGGTGGTGAAGGGTGCAGTTGCTAGACCTAGGAGACAACATCATTTTGATGGCAACAAGTACCCGTTACATCTCAGTTCTCAAAGTGGAGCACAGTGCCACAACTTCCACTAAAGGTAACTTGACTCTGCACTCTGAAGATTTGTTCAAACAGAAGTCTTTCCAGAAATTTCCTCCCTATGTAACAACGAAATTGATGAAAGAGTAACTTCAGAAATAATCGCAATATGCCTACAAGAAACTTGCTGTAATGAAATCTTGTTTCATAATAAATTCTGAGGCAATTCTCACCAAGTACGTCTTTCTTATTTTTGTCTCATGTTTCTGGCACCCCATAATTCATTCACCCTAATTTGGTGCTTCTCTCAGATTAAATTGGAGATATGGAGAATTAAAGAGAGAATTTAGTTTAATCTATTGATAGGAACATAAAAGGGGCTACTACTGAGTGCAGTGGTAAAATCTAGACTGCCAGAGCATATGATCGTGGAATTGAATTTGAGAGGAACCAATTTGTAAAAAACATGTCAAATTAGATTTGTATCCACATCACCCGCCCAGTACCCCTCATTGGCATGATGAAAGCTGGGAAACTAGCCTTTTGTTATATACAGCCATTTGATATTTTTTCCAAAAGCTACATACTACCTAAGTCACATAAAGCGGTAGCAAGACCAGCAATGGGAGCAAGAGCGAGATCGTGAGCACGTCAAAATCTAAAAAATTTATTGGAGCAGGTTCTGTTATATGGACTCTTCAAAAGTAGTAAATTACCCGTGTCGGAAACATATCCCTCGGACATGAGTATGAGATATATGTCCGACACTTTTGGTTGGACATGTACTTAAAAAACATATCCAATCATTCAATTACACTATATTATTACTTTAAAATGAGTTAAATGCCTATATTGAACATTATATTAGATAAAAACATTACTTTACTCTAGAAAATAAAATAAAATAAAATGATTAATAAAATGAATATTTAGATGTGTCCGTATGTCCTATTTGAAGATTTGACACCTCCGACGTATGGATACATACCCAAGTTCATGTAACATAGGGAGCAGGAGCCTCCATAGTGAATATTGGAGCAGGAGCCTCATTTAGTGCTTCTATATCTTTACTTCTACACACTTATTAGACAGAGTACACTATCATTTTATTTTGTTAATTACTCCCATTTGTTGGAAATGTTTACTTGAATATATGTTTAGAAAAATTTATCTATAACTGATCTAATAGTAAAGATTACAACTAGTTAAATGCTAAAACTATTCCAAATTCTTCACAAAGAAGAAATGGCACAACAATAGATTTGGGACAAATCCGCTCTAAATTCTTAGATTCACACGCAGAGCTTGGGAGCTAGTCACCCCATGCTGCCATGCATGAATCATGTAGTCATAATGACACTTATAGATGAAGGCGTGAAGTCATGTGGTGGACCATCTGACTTATCTAAAAAAAAATGTGGTGGACCATCTGGCTCTTGTTGGCTTGTCTAAAGGGCATACCAATTAATAAATACGTGAGTAAATCTTAATTAGGAATTTATGGTTGCCAACTAACAAACCTATAATCACTTTTTCCTTAAATAAAGAGGTTGTACATCTGGATTGCTTGTCTTATTTTCGGGGGTCTAAAAGATAATTTTTGAAATAAATTTGGGTTAAAGTATATATATGTGAAGTTATTTAACAACTTTTACTCACTTATGTGGTCAGTACATAATAATTTTAAACTTGTAAGGTTAATATGCAATTTTAGACAAAACAAATAGATATTTAAGGGCAGTCATTACACTATTACAGTAGATGAGTTATGATTTGTGTATTTTTTTCATTATGAGGCTGATGAAATATAGTAACACTCAGTAATTTTTAAAGTACTACATCATATATATATATATATATAATATATATATACCATTCGTCGTGTCCCTGCCGTGTCTGTGTCCTAATATTTTTGGATTTGCCGTGTCGCCATGTCTGTGTCGTGTCGTATCCGTGTCCGTGCTTCTTAGGTGTACGTACACTTAATACTGCAATGATAGTCATAATGATATTTATAGTTCAAGGCGTGAAGCCATGTGGTGGACCATCTGACTCATGTTGGTTTGTCTAAATGGGCATACTGATTAAGAAATACCCAAGTAAATCTTAATTCAGAAAATTATGGTTCCAACTAGCTCTGCATTCATGGAGTAATTAATTCCAACAGTTTTCAAGTCGACTTCACTTAGATAGATAAAAAAAATTCAATTCAATGACGAGGCAACAAACGGAAACTCCAAATAGATTTTGTTGCCTATTGCTACATGGGCCAATGTGAAAAAAGGCAATATCAAACAAAAGAAAGTGAAGCAAAGGGCCTACTCTTAAAAAAACGATCTGTGAAATTTAGCAACAAAACAACAAGATCTACAATGTCAGCAACTCCTGATGATTCCATACCTGTTGCCTTGAAAACAATCTACAGAGGTCCTTTACATAATTCAGCAAAGAAATTTACAAATGCATTCCCTAATAAAGTGTTTATTGAATAGAGACCTTTGCTTCATTAAAAACTGTAACAGAAGTCAGAAAGTAAATTATTACTTATATGGGTACTTAATCCTCACGTGATTATTAATTATATGGGTACTTAGTCCTCTCAAATGCTAGGGGCAAATAATAAAGTGGGTGCCTGGAGAAAAAAGGAACAGAATGAAACAAAAGGAGGAAAAACTCTCAAAAGATAATAAAAACAAGCACGTAAACCAACCTCGAACCCTTCCAAGTCAGCGTAAGCTCCACTCGCAAGATTCTTCCTCACGGTTCCAAAATCCATGGGATGTTCTATGACTTCATGGTAGTCTGGAAGCTGTAAGCATAGATATCAGTAAAAAGCAATAATAAAAAAAATAAATAAATAAATAAACGAAACGCACGAACTATTATAAATAAATAAACTGTTCTAACTATTACTTCATTTGGGTCCACCGGTTCAGAAAACACGCCATAAGTGTCCTTCCTGTTGTAAAATTTGACATCATAAGAAGCTGATAATCAAATGGGACATAATAAAGTTAAACCTTATACGATCGTTTAGAAACAAAAATACACCCACTTTTGAAGCCTCTCCAAGACGAACAGCAACAACTTCTTATCTGGTACAGGCGTTTTGGTTCCCATGTCCAATTGAGTCCCTGCACATAATTCATGTCGACGGTAAATATCAAAAACTTCTTGCCAATGTCTTTGGCCAAAAAGTGTGATCACAAACCTTGGAGGGCGTTCGTAGTTTTGGAAGCCAAATCATGCTTTCCTGCCTGCAAAACCTAATCCAATATAAGCAAAGCAATTGTAATAATAGAATGATATACATACATATATTCCATTTGTGTGCTTAATGGTGACAATAATATTGAAGTATCAATTAAGGAAACCGAGTTAAGAAAACTCAACTTAACTAAGCCTTTTTTTCCTAATAATTTTTCCTAATAATAGGATTAAGAAAACGAGAAAAAGTTATTTCTGAAAAGGATAAAAAACTTTTACTAGAAAGAACAGTCCATTACTATTTCAGTGAATAGAGATGAAATTTATGTCACTACTAGCAACAACCACTGAATGTGGTATGAACTGAAAATCCGCAAAGACAAGAAAAAGGATCGAAATTCAAAACATAAGTGCCTTAAGACCCGACCGAGTCAACCTCATAAACTTAAATTCTAATAGTACAAAATAAAGGACAACATTGATAAGGTGCGAAATCCAAGAAAATTCAAACCATGTCAACGTTACCCTGAAAATGGAAAAAAATTCAAAAATAAAAATAAAAAGACAAAAGCATTCCCTTTTGACGATACAACTTTCAACCATTGAAATTAGATTTTAAGTCAAAATGGCCAAGAAAAACATCACCTTTTCGGTATCATCATGACCAGATCCATCACCGATCGCATTGATCCTTCCCTTCTTGTGGTTCTTCGCCACAGCATCGTCCTCGGCGTTCGAATCAGAATTATACGAACCCGAATTGGGGGACGTAGAATTCAAGGACGACCTCTGAGAAGGCAATTTGAGCACGAACTTGAGCTTCTTCTCTCGTCGTTTCCCGCTCAATTCGTCGTCATCGTCTTCACCGGCGGTATCAGCGTTCTCCTCCGCCTGAGAAATCTCGTCGGTATTAGAGTTCCGGCGAGTGGATCGACGGATGGGAGTAGGAGTAATTGGGGATGTTTTGAAATTAGGGTTAGGGTTTCGTTTTTGTTGCGGATAGTTTTGTTGGTGTTGGTTTTCCTCCTGGATACTTCGCTTTTGGAGATCTAATAGAGAGGGACGTCCTTTCTTCTTCCTCTTCTTCCTCTCCACTACCTTACCCATTCTTTCTGCCTTCCTTCTCTCTCCTCTCTCTTCTCTCTCTACAAACAGGGGTTATTTTTATTTTTATTTTTTACTATTTTTATTTTCGGATCTTTTATGAATTTTATGTGAGTATGGCAAGCATGTAAGATCACGCGCCTTTCGTGTAGATGGTTGACGCGTGTGAGACAGTGATCGCGACCACCACCTCACAGCGAGGAGCTTGAGTGTACTGCACTCGCTTGTTTTGCTTGCTGTCTCAGGTGGGACCCGCACGTGGTCCCATATACTTGGCATTCAGAAATTACACATTCCTACACTCCAGTAATTCTTTAGGACTAGTCAAGGAAAAATGATTCGTTGGCCAATGCTTAATCATTTGTTGAGCCGAAGATATTAAGGTCATTGAAAGGGCTGTATTTATCATTGGACCAGAGATGGCCAAGTCCGGCACTCGGTCACCAAAAAACCCTTTGACAGTCCTCAGGCCCAACAGAACTTAAAAAGAAAAGAGAGGATCACTTAACAGGCCGGCTCATTGAAGAATAAAGCCCATCAACTTCACACTTGTAAGTTGATAATAGGAAATTAGGGCAGAAAAGAAAGTACCGTAAATAGAAGTAAAAGCATAGGGAAAGGGAGATTGTTTTGGAGAGTGAGAAAAACTTCCCAATAATAGAGAGAAGATTTCTTGTGTCTTTATCTAGCACCGTATGTGGAAAACAAAGGGAAGAACCATCAGTTTCCACGTTGAGTTATGACTCAGCTCTGATCTGGAACCATGATTGGAGAAGGAAACTCCCATTCGCAGGACAAGAACAAGCGAATCAGACTACATGATGAGTTGATACAGATCATCAAAACTCTGCGACGCGAGAATACTAAGCTCAGATTCAGGAGGGAGCGAAGGGTAGCATCACCACCTCCTCGGTTACCTGGAAGATGAGAGAGGGGAGATGACAAATGTCAACCGGCGGGCGGAAAGAACGAGATCCGTCCATATTAACCAACAGCATAGGAGGCTAGGGCCGGAGGACGAGATGGAGTGTGTCGAGGTCATTTCTTCATGGCCGAAGGAATTAACTGCAAACAAGATGTTCGACGAAATGCACCTGTCAGATGTAAGCACTCATGGCCAAAGGGCCACCAGAAAGCAGCAACATGACTGAAAGGCGCCCCCAATGAGCAACGAGGTTGTTTAGACATCAGCCTGAACAGTCGATTCGCCTTTCACCGAAGAGATCCTCTAATCTCCAAAGCCAAGGAAGTTCTCGATGCCAACGTTCACTCTGTGTGATGGGATGAAAAACCCAACTAAGGGTGCAAGTTGGGTAGGCCTAACCAAACCCGGTCCCAACCCAAAGTCAGGCTGGGTTGGGCCGGCCCAAGGTCAACCTAGATCTAGGCTCTAAATAACCTAAACCCGAATAATTTCGGGCTGGACGGGTTGACCCGTCTAATTTTTTTACCTTTTTTTTTATTCCAAATATGCAAATTACATCTCTATTTGAAAATATCAATTTTTTTGAGAAAATTTAAATTTTCAATTCATTACTACTCTTTTATATTTTCCGAATCTAATATTCAATTATTAATTTTTTTTGTGTACTTCCAACTCTAATTTTTTTTTCATTAATACAAAAAAAATAAAACTTATCTTATTTTATTTTAAATATAAAAATAAAAATAAAAAACCTTTTTCTTTTTGTTTGTTATTAAATAAACTTTTATTTTCAAATTATTCTAAACAAAAACCCTAAAACAACTTATATACGTGTATATGAGAGGAAGCCCTAACACAAGCCGCCGGAGAACAAACCAAAAGACTTTGAGCAAAAAGTAAGAAAGAGAGAGAAATGCCCTTAAGGGTCATTAACTTACATGTTGTTTCCTCCTATGTCGCCTCCAAATACATACATGGCTACCGGCTATTCCTTGATACATGTTTCTCTCTTTACTCTCTCCATTCAAGTTTTCTCTCTCTATCTCCATCAACACGTGCAATCACATATATAGATATATATATCAATGACCAACTCATTTTTCTTTATAATCCTGAATTTACTATAGTGAGAGCAATTATGGAGTCTAGGTTCTAAAAAATGATGCACACTTCTCATATAAGACTAACCATTTGATAATATAATTCGATTTGGAAGGTGAAAAAAAAATTGAAATTTTATTTTATTTTATTTATTTCGGGTTTCCATGATCTTGAAGGTGCAAAACAAAAAGATTTCGAATTTTTTTTTTTTTTTTTTAATTTCGGGTGTCTAAGATCTGGAAGGTGCCAAAATAAAAAGAAGAGAGATTTGGATTTATTTTTTTATTTCGGGTTTCCATGATCTGGAAGGTGCAAAAAACAAAAGGATTTGGAATTTTTTTTCTTTTTTTTTTTAATTTCTGGTTTCCATGATCTGGAAAGTGCAAATATATATATATATATATATATATATATATATATATATATATGGAAAAATATATTTGTAAAAAACTTTCGGGTTTTGGGTTGGGTACAGGTCGAACCCGAGACCAACCCAAACATGGCTGGGTTTTGAGAAAAACCAACCCAAGTTGAGCCCGATTTGTGAATTTAAAAGCCCAAGTCCCAAAATTTTCGAGCTAGGATCGGGTTGGGCTGAGTTGGACAAGCCAAGTTGCACCCTTAAACCCAACCGAACATATATACCAGATCTAACTGAAAATGGCCCTGGACACCAAAAATGATGCCCTGATGTGCAAGGTCTTCCCAATGAGCCTTACTGGATCGGCGCTCAGCTGGTTCAAACATCTGCCAAAAGGTTCGGTAGGGAGTTTCCAAGCGCTCTTCAATCTATTCATAGGTCGGTACTATGGCAACTGACGAATAGAGAAGGACATATCATGTCTGTTCACTATGTGACAACAAGAGGGCGAGTGCCTCCATGCATTCCTCACCAGATTTAATTTGGAGATGAGTATGGTGATTGATAGCCATCTATCCTTAGCGGTGCAGGCGTTCAAGATGGCTATGGTTAGAGGAACTCAGTTTCACACATCCTTGGTGGTGAGGTCACCTAAAACTATGGATAAGCTCAACACGAGGGCACAGGTTTACGTACAATTGGAAGAGGATGGAGTAGTACAAGAAAGACAATGATGGTCACAGTAGAGAATAAATCAAAAGCCAAAATGACCACCCAGAGGGCTCCGATAGCGCAATCACAAGTGGTTCCTTGGAAGGTTGAAAAGAGGCAGTGTAAAGATGAGATGGTCAGCCCCCTTAGAGTCACCCTAGTGTGACTGTACCAAGAGAATAAAGGGATGTTCCAGTCGCCTCAGTCGATCAAGCAACCGCTCGAGCAGAAGGACTTGTCAAAACACAATGCGTTCCATAGTGATTTTGGGCATTAAACTAATGAGTGCAGAAACCTGAGGGGGCAAGTTGAGATGCTAATTGTAAAAAGTGAGTTGGCCAATTATGTGCAAGCCAAAGAACAGAACCGCCCTGCCGAGCAAGCAAGGGGAAATTCGAGGGTGAATCTTCAGAAAGACAGCAAGTTTGAGTCATTAATGTCATTCATGGCTGACTAGAAGTTGAGGATGAATTAGAAGAGCTCCATTGAGCACGCCTCCTGTGGGCTCACAAAATGGAAAGGTTGGGAAGTGTCAATACAATCCACCAAGAAGGCGACATGACTTTGATCAGGTTTGATAATGCTGACCTTCTTAGGATCCAAACCCCATATAAGGACCCACGGTGTCAAATTGCCTGATTAAAATAGTTTTGGTGGACCCAATAACATAACGAAGGTGGAATTCAAGCAATTGATGGTGGATCTAAGGCAGATAAGGCCCACGGGAAATCCACTGGTAGGTTTTGATTGGAAATGAGTAGAACCAATTGGGGTAATCGAGTTGCCAGTCTGCGCTACACAAAGGAACTTGAAGGAAAACGTCATCAGAATGGACATCCATCATTCCTACAACCTGTTGATGGGGAAATGGTGGATCCACCAAGTCCAGGATGTCCCATCCACCCTACACCAGGTCATGAGGTGCTTGAGTCTGGGGTGATTGACATCCATAGCGACTAAGTGGCAGCCAAGGAGTACAATGTGGTAACACTTAAGGCTAGTGGGAAGGGCAAAACAATCGCCCATCCTGCGAGTACCAAAATAACAATTACAAAGCCCCCTGCTCGACAAGGAAGAAGACGAGGCTAGGGAGGAAGAGTCGATCCTCACAATCGAACCACTAATGGAAGTGCAAATTGACCCCTTAATATTCAAGAAAACTAAAAAGATAGGATCAATACAAAATGCAGAAGAAAATCAACAGTTGATTGAAGTTCTAGTTAGAAACTCAGATAATTCGTTTGGAGTCACTTAGATATGCTAGGTGTTAGCCCATCTCTTTTATGCCATTGCCTGAATGTTGACCCACATTCTAAAATCATTCAGCAAAAGCAGAGGAGGTTCATGCTAGAGTGAATTAAGATCATAGCTGAAGAGGTGGACAGGCTACTGGAGGCAGGATTCATAAGAAATGTACAATACCCATTATGGTTATCCAATGTAATTGTTGCCCAAAAAAAGAATAAGAAGTAGAGGGTCTGCATTGATTTCACGAAATTGAACAAGGCTTACCCAACATATAGCTTCCCCTTGCTAAAGATTAATCAAATGGTAGATGTGACTACTTGTGACGACCTTGGATTTTTCAACCCAGTGTGTCCTGTGATGACCCGAAACGGATCCAAGAATGTGGAAGCAAAACAAATACAAGTCCTTAGAGATGTACATCATCCCTAAGAAACAAGAATGGACTTTCAAAGAGTTTTGAGACTCAATGTACCCTAAGAGGAAGGAATTTAACTTCTAACAAATCAAATGAGGTCAAAAACATCCAAAAACATCCTTTGGTAACTTCACATAAAGTCTTAAGACCAAAGGAAGAGAAAACCCAAGTGAACCCTATCCCGGTTCGAACCAAATCTAACACCCTCTCACTAAAATAAGGATATCTCAAGGTAGGAGAAGAATCTAAAATTGAAATTGGTACCATTAGAAAGCTTATTTCGATGCGGTTAATTTAGACTCAAGAACGGACTAATTTAAAGTTAAAACAAAGAAGTTACATTAGATTGAAGTTGAAAGGCCAAAGCT